TATACACAAGCATTATTAGTGAAATGCACATGGAATTTCTTAATTTTTGCTATATTTTGAGCATCTATATGGTCCAGAATGATATTACAACACATGGTAGCTCTAAAACTAATTAATTATTAAGCTAAAAGTTATAAAAAGAATAGCTTTTTGGCCTTCTAAAAGGACAGTTCTGAAAAGTTTTTAACAGTTCTTAATAACCCTTAATAGTTCTTAACAATTCTTGAACAGCTCTTAATAGCTCTTAAATAACTCCTAATAGTTCTTAAAAGTTCTGCTTTTATATATATAAAAAACTTCTTGTAATAATTATTTAACCAACAACTCTCTAATAAAATAATTTTTAATTATTATTCTTTGAATATTATTTATAAAAATTATTTTTTATTTTGTTCTTTATTTTATTTTTCTTTATATTTTATCTTTATTTCTCTTATTTTTCTTCTTTATTTCTTATAAAATATAAAGTAAAAAGCTGATTTTCTTAATTAGTTATTTGGCAAATACTAGCTTTATATTATTGAATATTTTATTTTTCTTTCTTAAAATAATATAAAATAATAGCTGTATTTGTGAATAATACTTTGGCAGATACTAGTTTTATATTATTAGAATTTAAAAAGTCATATATAGCTTAGAACAGTCTGATTATCTGTTGCTAATCATCTCTTCTAGTGTCTTAGGATACTTCTAAGTCTAGTACAGGTAATTCTTATAAAGGATAAACTATTTGTTAAGCCTAACCAATACAAAAAGAACAATAAATTAAATCTTCTCTACAACTAGCCTATTGTAAAAATCCTTATAGTATCTAGGAGGCTATTAAATTTAAATTCTATTTTTAAATATTTATTTCTTATTTTTAATTATTTTTATTTATTTTATTTTCCTTTAAATAAAAGATCTTCTACTTAGTATTCATGTATTTAAAATTACTACAGCTTGTTAGTTTTTAATAAATTTTATTACAGTGTCTCTAAATAATAATATGACATATCATATGACTCAGCTCAAGCTAACTCAAGTTGGCTCAAAAGCTGTAGCTAAGCTGGCTTACTATAAGCTATTCTTATCCTTATAATAACTAAAGTTATATAAATAACTAATTATATACTCTTTTTATAATTGTTTTTGTTTCTGTTATATCAATAGATGTTAGCCAATATATACTATTAATAAAATCTTAAATTATATATATTTACCTTAATATTAAATTTAGTTTTCTTGATAACTAGTAATTTAAATCAGTTAAAATTTTTACTATAAATAAAGTATATATTCAACTATATTATACTAGAGTTTTAGCTAATTTATATTAATAGTTTTTAAAAAATTACTTGTAAATAATAGTTAATTTTTGTAAAAATATTAAATTATTATTTATAAGTAATTTTTTAAGAACTACTAATCTAAATTAGCTAAAACTTTAGTATAATATAGTTGAATGTATATATTATCTACAATAAAAATTTTAACTAATTTGAATTACTAGTTATCAAGAAAACTAAATTCAAACTTTAAAAAAATTTAAAATTTTATTATATATTATTACTAATTACTAATAATAATACTAAGCAAAGATACTATATATATTATTAGTAATCTAAAAATTATTAATAATATATATTATTTTTAATTTTTTTTGATAATATTGTATTATAGCAATGATATTCTATTAATCAGTTGAAATAAAATATTTGTAACTATAGTTATATCAATATAATTGACAAATTATAAAATATCTATATAATTTTAGTTATATAAAGAAATGCAAACTGGTACTAGGCAATGCAAATTCAAAATAAGTTCTTATATCTGTATAAATTTATAAAACCAAAAAAACTTAAGTTCACTTAAAAAATCTAAGTAAAAAGATAATACAAACTTTTTAACAATACTATTGTAAAGTCTAGATTTAGAAAACAGATACTAATATAAAAAAATCAAACAAGCAAAAACCTTTAAATAAAAAGTATTACTAATTAGACTGCCAAGTTTAAACTAAAAAAAAGATATTAGATCAAACTTAATATATCAAGAACAGGTTATAGTCTTTCTAAATTATCTGAATTAAAAATTTAAAAACAAACAAATATATACTAAAATACTAAAGATATACTATAAAATAAATACTAAGATATAAGTAAACTTTACAAAAATAAACCTTTGCTAATAGTTTATAAAGTAAGTAAATAGTTAACAAGAAAGGTCTCTAAATTTTATTAGCAGATGTTGTGCTTTAAAATATAACAGTCTAAATATCAGTTTAAAAAGAAAAGGTACTGTATTACTTAAATAATACTGATTAAGTATATATAGAGAGTTAATAATAATTAATAATTAACTAAGCAGATGATTAGAATGTTTAAATGAATAATCTCTTAGTAGATTATAGATATAGCATCTAGTATAGAACTTTAAGATAAATTACTTAAATATATAACCAAAAGTTATATATATAGTTAGTTGTACTCTTATTTCTGTAAAAATAGTTGTAATACTAACCTTAACATATATTAATAAAAACTATTATGAAGTACAAACTTTAAAAAAATAAAATAAAAAATATTAATAATATAATATATTATATTAAACTATTTTGTAACAATATAAGTAGCAATTCTAATAAAAATATATACAGACAGTAATGCAGTAATAAAAAATATTAATAAAGGTTTACAATATATAAAAAGTAACAAATTTTTTAAAAAAATATACTATAATTAATAAAAATTATTAAACTTATTAAAACAAAAAAAATATAAATAGAATTAGTTAAAGTTAAAAATTATAATAAAAACAAATAAAATAACAGAGTTAACAGTTTTATAAAAAAAAATAACAAATAAAAAGATAATATATATAAAGTAAGTTAGTTATAAAAAAATAGAATATTGTTTAAAGTAAGAAAACAAATATACTAATATATTAGCAAGATTTTTATACAAATTGATAATAAATACCAGAATAAAAGCAAAATAAAGAAAAACAAAAGTAATTAAAAGCTTAAAATTAAAAATAAAAACTATAATATATAATTAGATATATTTTTAAAAAAGAATAAATATAACTAAAAATATATATTATATTATAAGAAGTATTAGTACAAGAAAATATATAATAATAAAGTATATAATAAATAGCTTTTAATATTAAAAAAATTTAACAAATAAAAACCAAATATATATAATAGCAAACTACCAAGTATATTAAAAAAAAATATATTCATATATAATATTATATAAAAGACAAATAAGTTTGTAAAAAAGAATTTAAAAAGTAACTATAACAATATGATAAAAAAGATTAAAAAAAACAAATTCTTTTATATATACTATATATGACCTTTTATAAAAAAACAAAACCAAAAAAAATAAAAATAAAAAAACATTAATTAAAAATTTAATTTTAAAAAAAATATAAATTAATTTAATACAACTTTTAAGTACAAGACAAGACAGTAATTTGTAATTACAATAGCAAGAACAGCTTAAGACACATTTTATAAAGATTATAATATAAAAAAATAAATAAATAAAAGAAAAATAACAGATAAGATAAAAAGAGAAAATCAAAAAAAATTTTGTATAAAAAAAAAATAAGTTAGCAAAAAATAAAAAAACAAACAAAAGAAAAAAAAACCAAATTGAAGAAAAAACTAAGAAAACAATGTTTAAACTTGCTATAAAAAGTAAATGATTTTTTTATTATAAACTTAAAGTAATTAGACAAATAATCTACTTCTGTTTAAAGTAGTATAGCAAATTGTACTTAGATACTGTTAAAGTAGCCAAATAATATTAGACTTAATTATTAGATGTTTTTATATAATTGCAAAAGTAATTTTAAAAATTTTAATAAAATACTAATATGACTGTTTAAGATTTTTTTTTTAAAAAAAAAGAATAAAAAATTAATAATTATACTAAAGAGTTTTAACTTTTTTAAATTACTTTTTGACTTGTTACTTTTATTAGTTTTATTATTTTTACTTATTTTTTTTAATTTTTTTAACTAAAAATTAAAACTAAATTTTATTTAATAATATTACTGTATACTACTATATATTTAATAAATTTTATTATATTATACATAAAAACTTATATATACAAATTTCTTTTTATAAATTTTGTCTAAACTTCTAATAACAATTTAATTTTAATAACAAAAATTAATAAACTTGTAATACTGTAATTGAATTTTATTAATAAGTTTTTTTGTTATATATTTTAGTACAAAAATAAATTTTCTATACCAGAACTTAAATCAATTTATTATCAAAAAATAAATTTTACTAAAAGTCAAAGTAAACAATAAATATTATGCCTAAAACTTGAAATAACTAAAACTTAAAATAAAAAACCTCATTATCAAAACTAATCCTAAACTCTAATCTAACTACATATTAAAAAATAACCAAAAAAATATTTTGCAAAAATTCATATAAAAATCATCAATTTTGTATAATAAAGTTTTTATCAAAACAAAAAAATAAATTTTAATTAATATTAGAATTAGGGTTAAGGTTTGAAATAAGACAAGAACATAAATTATGTCAAAATTTTCCAAAAAATATTTTATTAAAATTTCAAAAATAGTTTTATAACCAAAATTTTCAAATAACAAAAAGGACGCAAGATATTGCACAGGCAATACTGTAAATTTTAAAATTCATAAAATAAAATAAAATATAAACTAAATAACATATAAACCAAATAACATTTTGAACAACTTAGCGAGTAAAGTTTGATTTGCTTAGTAAAAATCTCGTTTCTTTATGAAATATTCAATCGACACTTTACCGCATTTGTCTTAGATATTAAATGTTATCAGAATATCCAAAAGGTAGCTTTGATAGTTCTAAACATTAAAATTTATAATATGTATGTAAAACAATGGTACATCAGATGAAGCTTGAAACGAAAATCAGATTAATAAATAAATATTCAAAGCAGTCTTTCATCTTTCGAGTATAATATTCACAAGAGATTATGGGTCTTTTATTCATCAACTTCCATAAACTCGCTTTTTGAATCTTGCAAACCATCTGCAGCAATACTGATTTTGTCAAGCTTCTTTCGTAAGATTTTTGCGGCATTCATCCAACTTTCATATTCTTTGGCTTCTCCATATGTTACAGTATGAAAAGGTATGTCGCCAGCTGTTATACCCATGTTCCGCATACACCGAAATTGGAAACGCAATTGAAGTTGAATTTTCTTTGTTTTATTATTAAAGGAGTTAACATAAATAATCAAGTGAAATGATTTGAATCTCCATGACATTTACCTCTATCAAATTAGCAAATTCTTGGGCATATTTTTTAAAACTTTCTTCTTGTTGTTCAGGGGTAAGTTTTTCAGCCTTATCCTTTTTTGCAAAATCATCTTCACCTTGTGTTGGTTGTTTCCCGTCCAATGCAAGACCCATGATTGCATGAGCTGCCGTATTAATTATTTCAACGATCAACTATAAATTAAACACTCTTTTTCCATGAATCTAAAACATTATAAAATCTTAAAATTTTAACATGAAACAACCAACTTTTTCAATCGATTCTAAATCCCGTATACGCTGAGCGCTTAAAGGATCCACATTGGGTTTTTCGTCTGCAAGTTCGTATCGTAAAATAAACATATTTCATTAGATTTGATTCACGAAAATATATTAAAAATAAAATGCTGGTAATTACCAATCTCCATATTGACTTTCGGACCAAAATAAAATGAGTATGTTTGTCTGGAAATTTACTATGATCATGAGAAAATCACGATTTAAAGTCATCACATGATTAATTTTAAATACCGATACACTTTTTAGAATATTGCTATTTATCACCAGCGTCGCCGGGGATACTATATCTCAAAAATCTACTAGCTAACACATGTTAAAGATACTAAGTAAAAATGTTCAGGATCCCAACAAAGATTTGGACCTTTATACCTAACCCTAACCTTGCACCCGATCTCTAAATTTGATAAAAGAAATAAGAGGTGATGGTATCGCCACCGGAGATAAATGCTAAAATTGCATTTTTTATTAGTAGATTTTACAAACAAAAAATATTTTTAGAAGGAAAATTGTATAGAACATCTTACACAAAATGTACAAGTAAACGGGATCGGGCACTCTAAGTAAAAATGTTCAGGGCACCCAAAAACCTGAAATTGGAACCTTATATTTAATATATATTGTATATTAAAAACCATTTATTTATCTTGAAGCTGGAGTTTAACCCTAATTAAAACTATATAAGTGTTATATAACATGATTGTTATGAACATAATATTTCTTTTTGAACAAAACTTATAAATAAACAAATCATTATAAAATTTCAAAATCTGTCGAAAAAAATAAAAAGATATAGTATCCTATTAACAAAATTACTATGTAATTGTTGCACTTACATGATGATTAATGAAGATAAGCCAATAATGAATATGATCAGAAAAGTTCTTGGTTTGATAAAAATTATTATTAACTCAAAATCTGCATAAGAAACCTTTTTATGCTTTAACAAAAAATTTTTCTTAAACAATTTTACTATTATAATTACATTAATATAGATTCTAATCTTTACTTAAACAGACTTAAACAATTTTGTCTAATATTATATAAGTATAAAAATTTTGTTGTCAATGTTAATAAAAATTTAATAAGCAAAATTATATAATAGAGTGTGGTGACCTAGTGAAGTGGTCAGGTTGTCAACCCTTCAAATAGTAAATTGGATATTCAAATCCTATCAACAGTGAAAATTTGAATAACCATCTATAATATTCATCTTATAACAACTATTATTAATAATTGGGTTAAAATATCTGTAATGGCAGTTATATCAACATGACTGGCAGGTCATGGAACATCTGTGCAACTTGTTACACAAAAGAATACAAACTAACAAATTGGGCAGTGCAAACACTAGATAAGTCTTTGTAGTTGTATAAATCTGTTGAAATTAGATAACAAGAATTTTATTTGAAAAGATCTGACTAGAGAAATAGTTAGATATTTAATAATCTTATTATAAAAGCTAGTTTGGAAAAACAGATATTAAGGTTATTAAACAAGCAAAAACTTTCAGATTAGGAGTCACAAAGATATTACTAACCAGGCTATCAAAATGAACTAGAGAAAAAAGATATTAAGTTGACCTAATATATTGATAAACTAATTATAGTTTTATACAGGTTATTTGAATTAGAAGTTTAGTAAAAAAAATAGATAAAAAGACAAAAGTATACTAAAGTACTAAAATTATGTTGTAAAATAGATATTAGAGTCTATATGAACTTTATAAAGACATAGTAATTAAATAATATAATTTTAACTATAAGTATTAGTTTTGTCATACTTAAATTAACTGTAAAAATAGATACAGAAGACTTTGGAGGTTTATTTTGAAAATAAATTAGTTTTAAGATTAAGATAATAATTTGAATATCTAGGTATAATCTAGTAAATTAAAACAGATTATAGATTCAAAAAGTTTAAAATAAAACACTCAAACAAAGATATTAGAAATAACAATTAGTAGGAAACCTTTAAATAGATATCTTAAATAAATAATATAAAAAAGTTAACATATAGTTAATTATATATTCTTTTATAGTAGTTCATAAAATCATATTATTAATAAGTTAGTAATAAAAGTCAAAAGATCAAAGAAGTCACCTTAACACTAAAAAAAACAAAAAACAAAATTATATAATAGTAAATTTTTTTTTTAATATTAAGGTAATCTCTTAGATCTTTTGATTTTATTAATAGATATCTGTTAGCTGTACTAAATTTAGTACAAAAAACTTAATTTAGTACAGTTTTAAAATGATAATAAAACAAAAAACATAACAACCTATTATATGAAACTTTGTACAACATATTTATAGCTCATTCAGAGTCTATTTGTACAATTTGAATATTTTTTATAAGTAAAAATTATATAATAAATTATTATACATGTATATGAATCTGCATCAAACTTGTATTACTAATTGATTGTATAACTTGATCAATAAAACCTCTTTTTATTATATTAAGTTGTTCAAAAATCTTTAATATGATATTTATGAATTAAAAAAAGAATATTTTTAAAAAATAAGTATGTGTTTCTTTTTTATTTTTTATTTATTTTCTTTGTTTTATACTATTAGACTAAAAATTCTATTTGTATATACTTTATACTATCAGATAACAGTTTTTTAATACTTATTGGCAATATATAAGTTAATACTTTGTTATACTATGTTCAAATATAATACTAGTTATAGTCAAAAAGCTGTAATGTTATGATCAAAAAGCTGTAATATTATGCAAATTAAATGAAATAATTTTATAAAAACTAAAAAGATATATTATTTAAATATCTTTTTTTTGAATAAATCATGTAAGATTAAAATTTTTTATATAATTTTTAATAGTCCTTTTCATCTAAATCATATACAGTAATATTATATTTAGCCAGTATCTTTCTATAAATTATATTATTCATTTTATTAACTTACTTAGAAGAAAGAACTCAAATTAGGTTGATATAACTATTAATAAATATATAACATTATTAGAATTTTGAATATTAATGTTTGTTATTTCTATAAGTAATTATTGTTATTATTGAAAAATACAAGAAAATATTTAACCATTATTACTATTTAATTTTTAACATTGAATGAGTCTTTTATACTTTGAACAAATAGTATTATAATATACATTAATAATGCTATATAAATTAAAAATAACTTATCATAATGATCTCTTATTTTTAGTTTATAGTTTTGTTAATGCTTTTAATACCAATTTAGTTGAGGCTATTATTTCTAGAAGTGTATTATGTGTTAATGAGTTTATGAACTTATGGTTAGCCAAAAAAAAATAAGATCTCAGGTTAGTACAAAATATTACAAAAACTACATTCTGTAGGACAAAAATGAAAAGTTCTTTGCAATAGTTTTATAAATATAGTTATTCAACTAGAATTTTGTAAAAATAGAGATATTAAAAAAAACAAATGCTATATTTCAGAATATATTAGTACTGCAGAATATGTGTTATAATTAACACAACCATGATTTAGTAGTAGATAAACTATATTTAATAATAGTTGGTTTAGTTTTTTAAAACTTTGTATAATATTAATACAAAATAGCTTATATAGTATTTTTTATGTAAAAAAAGATGTGCATAGCCTATTAATTATTCTGATGATATGGTTCATAAACTTAATAGCACATATGGTTCATATATATCAAAAATTACAACAATTAATAATATTTAATTAATAGTAGCTTTTTTGTAAAATAAAAAACCACAATGTATAATTGCAATAGCATTAACAACAGTTAATGCTAATAAAGTAAAACATGTAGTTAAAAATAATACTGGTTTGAAAGTTGTTAAATTTATAAGACCAAAGGTTTTTTATAAATATTCACAAGCAAAAAAAGCTATTGATATTAATAACTAAGTATATTAACCTTTATATAATATTTATCTATATATATATATTATTTTTATTATATTATTAAGTTATAATAATATAATTTCTTTTTATAATATAATGTGAGAATTAAGTTGGCAAATGCAGATATTTTTGTTTATTAGAAGTTGCAGAGACTAATGCTTTTTTTATATATAAAAATAGCATAAAAAAGCATATAAGCTTTTGCATTTTGATTTTAGAAAAGAATTAGCAAACAAAATGCTTAGTAGAAATTATAATATAACTGAAAATTTACAAAGTAAAAAGTGAGTAAAAACATCAGAATTACTATACAACTTAGTTACATTTCTTAAAAGAGAAAAAAAATAGTAAAACAAATTATTCACAATTGCATTGTAAGTACTATAGTTTAAGAACAAAATACTATTGTGTTTGTGATATCTCAAAAACTATATATATTAAATACTTTAACAAACATCTTTTAAATTTTTAAAAAATATATGAAAATAAAAAACAGATCTTAATCTATTTGTGATTAATATTTTTTAATATATATTTCTAAAATATTTAAAAAATTTTACTGTACTTTTTTTTTTTTTTTTGCTTTTGCTAAGGCTGTAGTTATTGATAGCTACTGTCTTTATTGTATTTTTAATTATAATTATATAACTTGTACAAGGTGAGTATACAACTAGCCATTCATATAACTTTTGATTGTTTAATTTAAGTAGTCTGCCTATATAGCAGATTCTATACTAGCAGTTATACTTGCAATCTATTAGAAAATTATCTATTTAAATACTTTGATCCCTATACTATACTGACAAATAGTGCACAAGTTCCTGTACATTTATTTAGATGTCATCTAACCTAATCTTGATCTTTTTTTATATACATCTATTAAGCTGTTACACATTTCAGAGTATGTCATCTAACTGTAAAGCTCAAGGATGCCTCTCTGTTAACTACTCACATTTAATTCTTATTAACAGGACTTGCTCTTGCAGAGTTTACCCAAATCCTAGCATCGACTTTACAATATATTTCTAATACTTATAGTATACTCTTGCTTCCAACTTCAAACTTTTAATCCAGATATTTTAAAAGGACTATAACCTGTTTCTGATACTCCAGAGTCTGCCTCTTAAGATCTTTTTCTTCTAGTTTAAAACTTTTAGTAGCCTATTTGATAATACCT